TATCTATCTATCTATCTATCTATCTATCTATCTATCTATCTATCTATGTGTGTGTATGTATCTATATGTTTGTATCTATGTATCCATCCATCTATATATCTATCTATGATTGGATAGAAATAAATACCACTGTTTAAGAATTTGGTATGTATGTATGTATGTGGATAGAAATAAATGCCACTGTTCAATTTTGCTTAGCGATTTCACGGTTGTTGTCAGCGGCAGTCCAGCAAATTGATCACGGAGGAGGAAGAGGGAGAAGAAGAGGAGAGGAGCCATGTCCAATGTTATCCTAGAGAGCATCTTTCTGAAACGTTCCCAGCAGAAGAAAAAGACTTCTCCGCTGAATTTCAAGAAGCGCCTCTTTATGCTGACAGAGACCAAGCTCTCTTACTATGAATACGACTTCGAACGTGGGGTGAGTCCTTGAAGACCCTTGAACGACAGAAAACAAGATTTGCAGAAAGTCTTCTTTAACCAGATTTATCGAAAGGGGAAAAGGGATTAGTTCTCAGACACATCAACAACCGGATACTCCCACTTTATCACCCGTTTCATCCCTAAATTTGATAGTACAGGTAGTCCTCAACTTACGACCACAATTGAGCTCCAACATTTCTGTGTCTAAGTGAGACATTTGTCAAGTGATGTTGTGGTTCACCGGCAGCCTGTGCAAATGGCAGCGGAATCGGACAGTGGGGAAGAACGGGGACCAGTCTGGGAGTCTGGAGAGGACTCAGACAAGGGTCCTGCGTCCGATGCAGAGATGCGGCCAGGACTATCTGGGAGTGGGGTGCTGCCTCCGGATCCTGACAGCAGAGAGGCAGATGAAGAAGGGGAGCCTGTTCCCAGTGCGTGTATGTGCAGAACTGCTAGAAGGCAAGAGTAGCTGAGACAAAAGGGGTCACTCAGGAGTAAGGCTGGTAGGTGATAGCCCCTCCCATAAGGGATAAAAGTCAGGCCTAAATGATGAAACCTTTGCAGAAAGCCAAGTAGTTCGATCGGTTCCGAGTCCTCCTTGAAGCTCTGTGTACTTTGGTTGGTTTTTCCTTGTACTTCGGTTGGTTTCTTTTATAGTTAGTTGGATACTTCTGTTTTTGGCAGCATTCCACTGCACTGAAAGGTGTGTGCTTATCTTGGGGGACTGGTTAAGATTAGTTCTGGCTAGGAATGTTTTTTTAAACCCTCCAAATATTTTCACTGTCTTCCTGCAGCGCAGAGGAAGTAAGAAGGGCTCGGTGGACATCGATAAAATCACCTGTGTCGAGATTGTGATTCCAGAAAACAATCCTCCTCCGGAACGACGGGTATCGGTAAGGAGGCATTTCTGCCTCTTCTAAGAATGCTGGTTTAGTCCTAGATACTGTGGCATGTTGGTGGGCCATTCTCACTGCAGCTCCTCCTGCTATAGGGAGCTGTCAGTCAAGTGATGAAAAAAGCATTGTTTGCTTTTTTCTTGTTTTTTACTGTCATACCCAAACTAGGATCCTTGGCTAGGAATGAAAGGCCAACCACAAAGAATGATGCCTAGTTGGCTTGGCAACAGGGAAATTTCACAGTTAGATTATGAAAATTTTGCCTATGGGAGCCAGGTGGAACGTTCCTAGCTTTTAAAATTTCCCCGAAGTGTGATGCACAAGCATAGAATTTGCTTTGATGTCCTCATTATATGCCCATATGTATGTTATGCATGCATGCATGCATGTATCATTTTTTTCAACTGTTTTGCACGCAGCGAAAAGAAGATGCAAATGAACACGAGCAGATTTCCATTATAGAAAGGTTTCCTTATCCTTTCCAAGTAAGTTTTATTTTTTTTTCCTATCATCTTTTCAATCCTCACTGATGAAACAAACATCAGCCAAGAAGTTTGGGTTTCTGTGTCAGGTTGGGCCAACACCCAAAGTAGCTAAGTTTAGGAGGCTGGGAAAATATAATGCCAAGTTCTTCAAATGGCCTGCTGTGCATATTTTATGAGTGAAGTTAGAAAAACGTAGAACCAAAGGCCTCATGATTGGAGGTGCTTTTGATAATCTGAAGATCAATCAACTTATCTTTTTTATGCAGTGTTCCTCAATATTGGCAACTTGAAAGAATGAAAGAATGAATGAATGAATGAATGAATGAATGAATGAATTATTTATTGGCCAAGTGTGATTAGATACACAAGGAATTTGTCTTGGTGCATGTGCTGTCAGGGTACATAAAAAGAAAAGATACATTCGTTAAGAATCATAAGGGACAACACTTAATGATAGTCATAGGATACAAATCATACTAGGAAACAGTCAATATAGATAATAAAGTTACAAGCAACAAAGTTACAGTCATACAGTCAGAAATGGTAAGGGATGGGTGATAAGGAGTGATGAGAAGATTAATAGTAATGCGGATTTTGTAAATAATTGGACAGTGTTGAGGGAATTATTTGTTTAGCAGAGTGATGGCATTTGGGAAAAAACTGTCTTTGTGAGTCTAGTTGTTCTGGTGTGTAGGGCTCTATAGCGTTGTTTTGAGGGAAGGAGTTGAAACAGTTTAAGAAGCAGGAGCTTCGATATCCAGGATTTCCCAGCTAGGATAGCAATAGCACTTAGACTTATATATACCGCTTTGCAGTCCTCTCTAAGCGGTTTACAGAGTCAGCCTATTGCCCCCAACATCTGGGTCCTCATTTTGCTGATCTCAGAAGGATGGAAGGCTGAGTCAACCTTGAGCCGGTCAGGATTGAATTCCTGACAGTAGGCAGAATTAGCCTGCAATACTGCCTTCTAACCACTGTGTCACCTTGGCTCTCTCTTAAATGACTCACATGGTGATTAAGGGAGTCTGGCTTCTCCAATTAACTTCACTTGCCAGAAGGTTGCAAATGGCGATCCCATAACACCGAGTTTCCGCAACCGCTATAATCTCATGCCAGTTGCCAAGCAGCCGAATTTTTGATCACGTCACCCTTGGGGATGTTGCAACCATCGGAAGTATGAGGAGCAATTATGACTCAGTTTTTTTCAGGGCCATTGTAGCTTTGTACACTCACTAAACCGATGCTTGTAGGTGGAGGGCTACCTATCTTTTAACTACTGTTTATGTCTACTTTATGTGTCCCCAAGATTGTATACGATGAAGGACCTCTCTATGTCTTCTCTCCCATGGAGGAATTACGGACCCGCTGGATTCACCAACTGAAAAGCAGTCAGTATCCATGTGGTTGAAACCAGGGGTGGAATCCCACCGGTATAACAACCGGGTCGGTGATTGCACACTTCACACGAGCATGCATGCTTTACGTCTGTGCTGCGCATTTAAGAAAGCTTACCTTCTACAGCAGTCCCTGTGAATAAAACAACTGAGGCATGGCAAAACGCACTTCTCGTCCAAGAAGCTTCTTCAACTCTGATAATGAACTCTTGGATGAGAAGCAAAACATCTTCAAAAAATAAAAACAACAACCCAGAAAGTCCAGTTGCCTCTTGAAAAAGGTTTATTATGAGATTGATGGTTGCAACCAAGCAAGGTGCCTAGGGATAAGACCAGTATAATGGCTGGGTTTGTACAAGATTTAATTAAAAAGACAATTGTAGGTCATAGACCTTTTCCAAATAGATTATTAGGCCATCAGATTAAGCTGTAATAATATGATAGGTTGATTGGTTTGGGCATTGCATGATCAGCAAACATAGTCCTTGGGTTTTGTTGAGCCAGGGTTAAAATGAAGGGAGTGAATGTAGACATAATGTTGAATTGCTAAGTGAATGTTTTAACAAATAAATCATACTCCTATGGTCCGAGTTACTGCTTGGCATTCTCTTCAGAAATCTCTCTTATTCCATATTTGCTGCAGTGACCTATTATAACAGCAACTTGGTGCAGAAGTATCATCCTTGTTTCTGGACAGATGGACAATATCTTTGTTGCTTCCAGACCGCCAAAATGGCCATGGGGTGCAAAGTTTTGGCCGGCCGGAGTCAAAGTAAGAAACCACCTCGCCTTCTACTTGTGTCTTCACTCTCATCTCAGCTTCTTCCTTTATTTATGCAGGTAGTCCTCAACTTACAACCATTCATTGAGTGGTTGTTCAGAGTTAGAACAGCACCAAAAACAAGTGACTTACAACTGGTCCTCGTACTTAAGACACAGCCACATGATCAAAAATTATATGCTTGGTAACTGGTGTCAGCTTTCCTCCACTCCAAACAATAACTCTGAGACAAGCATCTTCTGAAAAATTCTGTTTTATTTGGATAGTTAACTGGCACTTCTGGGGAATCCCGAATCTGAAAGTTCCGGACTTCCTTGCAATAAGTAAAAAATTATAAATCCATCCCCTGCACCCATCATCACATCCCATTCCCCAATCACCATCCGTCCTAACTTGAGACTTCCTCTCACTTATGGGCAGAATAACATGACCTTGACTTAGAGAAATAATGTTACTATGTCTAACCACGTACACTCCAAGAAATTCCCCCCTCCCATTTTCCCAGGCTCAAGAACATGGCAGTGTGGAAGCATCTGGTGCTAATATGGCTTCCAAAACATCAATTTATAATGGTCGTAGCGCCCTGGAGTCATGTGATTTGCAACCTTCCCAGCCAAGCAAAGTCAAGGAGGGAAGCTGAATGCACTTAATGCCCAATGATTCCTTTAATGACAAAAATGGTTGTAACTTTGGGCGGGACTCACTGAACAAGCATCTTGATTAGCAGTGGAAATTCTGATTCCAATTTGTGATCCTAAGCCAAGGACTACTGTACCTGTCATGGTTAACCAGCTATGGACAGAAAGGCAGGATATCAGCTCTATCAATCCATATCATATCAATCAATAAAAAAATAATAATCAATCAATCAATCACACTTGTCCTTTCCTTGAAGGTTTCAAAAGTGGCCGTTTGCTTCAGAAGCCCGAAAAGCCATTGCCTCCAACGCCAGAGGAGAATCAGGTAATTTTATGGGCTGGTGTGGCTACTATGTCTACTTCAATCCTACCCCCCTATGGCTACTACATTCACGTCGGAAGCAACTTCTAAGGGGCTTCTGGGTTGAAAGGATTAGCCGGTGGCATCACAGTTGCCCAGAGGACGCCCAAGGGGGCCCTTTTCACACCCCAGTTATTTTTCCAACAAAGTAGTACCTATTTATCTACTTGCATTTGCATGCTTTTGAACTGCTAGGTGGGCGGGAGCTGGGTCAAATTGATGGGAGCTCATTCCATCTTGTGGCTCACTCTTGGGTATCGAACTGCCGAGCTGTCGACCTCTTAATCGACTTTTGACTCAGTGTCCTAACCACGTGAGCCACCACGGCCCCCCTGGTGTGGGTAGATTCGACACCCCTAATGCCTGGGCAGGGTCTGAGTCTTGTGACCAGATCCCTAGAAGGCCTTATATTTTCCACCTTGCTTTCTCAATCCTTCCAAAGTTCATGAAGAAGCCTCTGCCACCCAAGCCGACACCCAGCATTCCTTCCAAGACGAGGAAGGTGATCGCTCTCTACGATTACACCCCCATGAATGACCAGGATTTGCAGCTCCAGAAAGGGGAAGAATATCTCATCCTGGAGGAGAGCAGTGAATCCTGGTGGAGAGCCCAAGACCAGGATGGGTATGAGATGGGAGAAAGAAGGGCAATGGCAACGGTCACGTTGTCTTGGGGTAGATTTCATTGTGGTTTGGTTTATGATCTAGATCAGTGTTTCTCAACTTGGCTAGAGTAGAGTAGAGTAGAGTAGAGTAGAGTAGAGTAGAGTAGAGTAGAATAGAATAGAATAGAATAGAATAGAATAGAATAGAATAGAATAGAATAGAATAGAATAGAATAGAATAGAATAGCTGGAAGGGATCTTGAGAGGTCTTCTAATCCAACCCCCTGCCTAGGCAGGAAACTCAATACCAATTCAGGCAAAGATCCATGGACGTCAACTCCCAGAATTCCCCAGCCAGCCATACTGGTTCAGATTGATGTTGGTTTAGCATTTCAGGTGTTAGAGTTCCCAAATGTTTATTTTGAAGGGTGTGTGGGTGTGCCAATGTCTTTGTTTACCTGCACGGCGAAAATATCTGACCCATCCCTTCTGACTTTGAGGGCTTTAATCATGGGAAATTCCCACTGGGCAGGCAAAAAAAGGTCAGTTTTGAGCAATTGTTTGTGATGTTCAGTAAGGCAATAATGCCTACATTCAACTCGGCTATGTAAGCATCAAGACTCTATAGTTTTAGATTTGCCATTCTCTTAGATTTAATAAAGGAAGCCTGATAACTCTAGTGGTCTTATCATCCTTCTTCTTCTTCCCCTTCTGCTTCCTTCCATCCAGGAAACAAGGTTACATCCCCTCCAATTACATCACCGAAACAAGAGATTCTCTGGAGATATTTGAGTGAGTGTCCTCTGATTGGCTGGATCCTTTCATGGAGATGACAGATAGACTCCAACGCATCTAATGGACTCCAGATGGCAGAGGACTGATGGACTGAATTATTCAGTTCAAGTCTGGGCTCTTCTGCCTCATTGTCAGTCGGATTTCTTTCTCCAGATGTTTCATTCCTCCTCCACCATTTGAGATGATAGCTTGTCCATCTGGACTCCAGACGTAGAAGATCAGCTAGTAATAAGATGGGTGGGACCAGATCAGTGGTGGGATACAAATTCTTTCACTACCGCTTCTGTGGGCATGGCTTGGTGGGCGTGGCAGGGGAAGGATACTGCAAAATCCCCATTCCTTCTCCACCCCACTAACCTGCTTTCCAGCTCCGTTCTCCTGTGCAGGGCAACCAAAGAAAACTCAGCCAATCAGCTGGGACTCAAAGGGAGGCAGAAAATAGATGGGGGCGGGGCCAGTCAGAGATGGGATTTGCCGGTTCTCTGAACTACTCAAAATTTCCACTACTGGTTCTCCAGAACTGGTCAGAACCTGCTGAATACTACCTCTGGACCAGATGCTCAACATTGCTTTGTCCCATATTGGCATCAAACAGGAGGGCAGGTTTGGGAATGAACCCCTAAATCAATTCTTCTGGAGAATTTCATTTTCATTCTTTACTCCAAATAAATTCCTCCCACAAGGCTTTCTATGCTTGACTTTCATCCTAGGTGTTCTTTCTTGACAATTATCTTGTCGTGTTTTAGGTGGTATTTGAAAAACATAACCCGAAGGCAAGCGGAAGAATTGCTGAAGAAAGAGGTATTGTTTTGTGTCTGTCTCGCCCGTCCTTCCTCCTCTTCCTTTCATTGCAAGGAATTTGTGTTTTCTCAACTCTTGCAAATTAAAGTTGTGTGGACTTCAACTCCCAGAATTCCCCAGCCAGCACATGGGAGGGGGGAATTTGTTGGCTTGGGAATTCTGGGAGTTGAAGTCCACACAACTTGCCAAGTTTGAGAAAAACTGCAAGGAATTCTAAATAAGGATTTGGGGGAAATCATCTATGATTGTGAATATGCTGTGTATGTTCTGTAGTACCCCTTTTATTTCTGCTTAGTTTCTGGATCCAATCAGGAGTAGCTAATGACCAGGAACTAGTTTGTATATCATATCATTTCATTCTAAGATCTTAAATTGTATGGCAAGAATTTGTCTTTGCTTATAATCCTTGTGAAGGATGCAATAGATGTAGACGTAGAGTTTTACTACTACCAACTACTTGCTACTAGGGCTAGTAAGCCAGCATTCTAGATCAGCGTAGCTTTATCAAAGGGTTTAGAAGCAACCCCCCAAGAGGGGCTTCCATCAAGAGATCTAGGTCTTGTCTTACACTGAAAAATTAATCATTCCTCAATCCTCACAACTGAAACATTTAGGCATTTCTATATTTCAGAGCAAAGATGGCGGTTTCATCGTTCGAGATTCTATCAGCAAGACAGGCAAATACACTGTCTCTGTGTTTGCTAAGTCCTCTGGGTGAGTGTGACCTGCTGATAAAAAAATAAATGTGAATTCCACACCAGGTTAGTCCTCAAGAAGGGCTCCACGATCTGTAGATTTTAGCAACGTATTAGGAGAAACGTCCTTATGGTTGACAGTGGAAGCTTTCAAGAAGAGACTGGACTGCCATCTATCAGAAATGGTGTAGGGTCTCCTGCCTGGGCAGGGGGTTGGACTGGATGACCTACGAGGTCCCTTCCAACTCTGTATAAACTGTAATGGGATAGGCTGCTTGAAGGTCCATAGTTTTTATATGGAAAAGTTGACCAAATAATAATAATAAAAAAATTCAACAATATCATAATCACCCGGAAGATGGCCTTTAGTTTACTTGGCTTAAGTTTATTAATTATGCAGGACGAAGGCATAATAATTTATTCTTAATCAGTTTTAGGTTCCTAGTTAATATAATTATAAAAAGTGATACATATATATATATATATATATATATATATATTGTTTCTTATAGATCCTAGTGTTATTAATTGTTAAAAAATTTAAATAAAGAGGAGTGGAGATATCCCTGCACTGAACAATGGATTAGATTAGATGACCTCAACATCCCATACCAACTTTCTGGCTCTTTCTTTCTAAACGGGGTGGACTTTCTCTTTCTTTTCCTACAGCAATGGCTCCTTCTTTCTGGAGATCCAATTCCTCAGGTCACCCGTCTTTGTTTCTCTCAGAGTCCCCTTTTTAAACACCTGATTGCTTCCTTAGGGATCCTCAGGGCACCATCCGCCATTATGTGGTGTGCTCAACGCCCCAGAACAAATATTTCCTGGCCGAGAAGCACCACTTCGACACTATCCCAGAGCTCATCAACTATCACCAACACAACTCCGCAGGTGAGGACGAGCAGCTGTGTCAGGATTCCGTCAGTTACTCCATTTAAATCATGAGTCTCGAGCCAAACTTCCAAAACTTAAAAAGGATTTATTGGGAGTTAAACTGTCCGGCACTGCCTGGGTATAGCCAACTCAAAGACACTTCGTTCATTGTCACCCTTGACCCTGGTTTTCCCTCCAGCTCCTGGGTGTATCGTAATTCATATTCTCCAATGGGACACATCCATAGCCAAGAGTCATCAATCATGTTCTCCAGTTAGAATTTTGCGTGGCTGACCCGAGACCTTAGCAGTAGCCCAGAAGTACCAAACCGTTGTGCTAATATGTGCCATGTCTTCTCAGCACCCTTAAATGTTTTTTTTTTAATTTAAAAATACTTAAATGTACTTAAATGGGTGTTTAGCATCTCACCTAGCTCTTGCAGGCAGCTCGGTCCTTCTCAGTTAAAGAAAAGCTGGTGTTATTTAATCCCTTATTGCAGAACGTGTTTGTGGTTGATAACTGTATGCTTAGCAAAAGGCAAAAGATTATTCTGAAGATAAAAAGCATTCTTCACTGCTTTTGGCATCTGTGCTACTTTTTCATGATTGGTTTGGAGCACAGAAAGGTGCCTTTGGATTGGCCTGGACTCCTGGCGACTATCTGGACAAGTCCCTGCATTCTGTTCCGTTGTAGTCTACTATTTTATTTCATTTCATTTCATTTCAATTTATTTATTTAGGGAATTTATATTGTTGCCTATTTGCACACGGCAACTTTTATTTTACTGTATTATTTTATTGTGTTATTGCATTATTTCATATTTTATTTTATTTTACTTTTTTATTATTTTATTTTACTTTATTTTGTATTGTTTTATTTTATTTTTGATATTTTATATTGTTTTTATTTTATTATTTTTATCGTACCTTTATTGCATTATTTATTTTATTTTTTATATTTTATTTTATTTTACTTTATTTCATTTTATTGTTTTGTTTTTTATATTTTATTTTATTTTTATTTTATTATTTTTATTGTATTTTATTGCATTATTATTTATTTTATTTTATTATTATTTGGCAGCACTTTCAGAAGTCATTTCCTCTTGCCTCCTTCCTCCTAGGATTGAGAGAGAGGGGGGGATTGGTCGCAAGGTCACCCAGTTGACTCTATGCCCAAGGCAGAACTAGAACTGCCAGTCTCCTGGTTTCTAGCCCAGCGCCTTCAGTTACTACACCAAATGGGCTCTTCTTAATGTTGAGTAATCTTCTAATAACATCGATATTTTTATCCACCAGGACTTATCTCCCGATTGAAGTATCCTGTTTCAACACAACAGAAATCTGCTCCTTCCACCGCAGGGCTTGGATATGGTAATACCTCGATGTCCTTGTGTGATGTCTTTGGTTGGGTTCACCCACTAGATCCATAAACAACTTAGAAGCTTTCCTTTCTTTCTTTCTTTGGCGTTTCGTGGTCTGTGCTCTCTCAGTAGTTCATGTTGGGAAGATTGTGCAAACCCAGTTAACTCATCTTCTGTCAGATCCATTTTATTAGAGATCATTATTATTATTGGCACATCTGAAGAAAACCTGAATCTGAGATTTCTGAGTTTTCCTTAGCCCAAAGAGAATCCAAAAATCCAACCCCTGCACCCAATAGTTCATTAATCATTACTTTGTTCCAACCGGAGACTATGCCCAGTCACTCCCCTCCAGGTGCAGAGTAACATGTCCTTGACTCTCTGAAAAAGGAATGTTGTTGGGGCTAATTTTCCATCGCTCCTTGAAGTCCTCCTCCCATATTACCAGGCACTGAATGTGGCACTGTGGTGGGATTCCCAAAAATGTATTGCTGGTTCTGTGGGCATGGCTTAGTAGGCGTGCATGGCTTGGTGGGCATGGCTTGGTGTCGTGGCAGGGGAAGGATACTGTAAAATCCCCATTCCCTCCCTCCTCCTGGGGGAAGGTTACTGCAAAATCCCATTCCTTCCCCACCCCACTAACCTGCTTTCCAGATCCATTCTCCTATGCAGGGCAACAAAAGAAGACCCAGCCAATCAGCTGGGACTTGGGAGGCAGAGAATAGCTGGGGGTTGGGCCAGCCAGAGGTGGTATTTGCCGGTTCTACGAACTAATCAAAATTTCTGCCAGTGGTTCTCCAGAACTGGTCAGAACCTGCTGAATACCACTTCTGATGTGGCAGCCCAGAAGCCTCAAAGAAAAATGGCTTCCAAGCTGACAATTAAACTAGTTAATTCAATAGCACCTTCAATGAACACAGCCTGTATATTATAGTTGATGTGTGGTTGTGACTCAAAGGCCATCATCCATTTACTTCCTATAGGACCTTCAGTGATGTTATATCAGATGCTTTGCGGGAAATTGTCCGTGGTGGTCTTCTGCTCATCCAAGTGGATTTTCATCCACCCCTTGCTTTGTGTCCTCCTTAGGGGCCTGGGAGATTGACCTGAAAGAACTGACATTTCTGAAAGAGCTGGGGACAGGCCAGTTTGGAGTGGTGAAACATGGCAAGTGGCGAGGTCAATACAACGTGGCCATCAAGATGATCAAAGAAGGCTGCATGTCAGAAGATGCCTTTATTGATGAAGCCAAAGTCATGATGTGAGCCAACATCTCCTTTTCTTCTCTTCTCTGTCAAGACTTTCCTTTAGATCAGCATGAGGAACTTGTAACCATCCAGATGTTGTTCAACTTCTACTCCCAACATCCTTCCCTTCTTGCTATGCTTGGTGGGAATCCATCCCAATTCTGAAAGCATCTCTGGACTTTCAGATTGGCCAGTGTGGTCCACCACAAATGTTGCAGGCTCAGGTTTATTTCAGCTCAGTTCTTGCTGGAGCCCTGTCATTAAAGGAAGTATATTTGGGTAGATGCTTCTCAGCTGTTCACTTGAAGACAATGTTCTTCTTTTTTTTGTAAAAGTTTTTTATTTTTGAAAGATAAACACTAACAAACACAAACATAAAACATGAACATAAAACCATCTTCCAAAATACAGCATGTCGGTTGGTACATTTCTTTTGTGCGATGTAATAATATCAACAATCTTCCCCTTCCGAACAAATTCACATTACATAAGTCAACTACACATATTATATTACATTGCATTATTATTATATCATTATTAGACAACTATAAATTCACATAGTTCTTATCAAGCAAATCTGAGTTTTAACAAATCTGAGAATTCATTTTAATATGTTCAATTATATAATATCATTACATCGTATTATCTTGCATATTATACCGTTCCTTTTTAGAACATAATTTACTTCTCTATTTTCTTATCTAACCATTGATAAAACAAATCCCAAATTTTATAATATTCTTTATCTTCGTGCTCTCTAATTGCTAGAGTGAAGACAATTTTCTTCTGTCTGTAGTTGTAAGTAAGACCTTTCTTTACAATAGATTTGAATGTTACTCTTGGACATTTTTCCTTCCTGCCACTTACATAAAAAGCCAGTTTGGAGTGAAGTACTGGGTTTGCACATCACGCCAACTAGGGTTGAAACCAATCAGGATTTATTCCTTAAATAAGCCACAGTTGGTGCTTAACAGAATATAAAGGTTGTCTGAATGACCACAGCTGAGTTCCTGAAACATGCTAAGTCCAAGCTGAACAATTTACATAATGGCTTTGATCTGCTCCTTATTTTTGCCATTTGATGGGAAAAACAGTGATGAAGGTCAAAGGTAAACCAATGAGGTTCTTGCTTTCCTTTTCAGGAATCTTTCTCATCCCAACCTGGTGCAACTGTTTGGGGTTTGCACGAAGGAAAGACCAATCTTGATTATCACCGAGTACTTGTCCAAAGGTTGCCTCTTGACCTACTTGCGGGATACTCGGCGGTCCTTCCAGGCCACCGAGCTTTTAGATATGTGCAAGGATGTCTGTGAAGCCATGGAGTATCTGGAATGCAAACAGTTTCTACACAGAGACCTGGTAAGTGACACACTGCTTAAAGGGAGAAAACTTAAGTCAATGCCTTTGGGTTGTGCTACCACTGGTGACCTTGTCATGGGTGAAGCTTGGATGACTTGTGGCCTTCCAGATGATGGTGAAGGACACATCTCTGTGACCTTAGCCAACATATCTACTGGTACAGGATTCTAGAGGTATCTGACAATACTGGAAGACCACAGCTTGCTCCTCCAACAAGGATGAAAATGCTATCAGGAACCCTCAATCTAATGATGGAGATATTGGAACTGGGGTGAAAGTGCTATCACGTCCTCAAACTGGGAAAACGATAGAGGTTGGAGGTTTTAGAACAGAGGTGAAAGTACCATTGGGAATTGCTCAAACTGGTGTAATTATGGTGATTCTAGAATGGGGGTGAAAGTGCCATCAGGATTGGTCAAACTGGGATAATGATGGAGGTTCTAGAACAGGGATGAAAGTGCCACTAGGTTTGGTCAAACTGGGATAAAGATGAAGGTTCTAGAATGGGGGTGAAAGTGCCATCAGGACTGGTCAAACTGGAATAAAGATGGAGGTTCTAGAATGGGGGTGAAAATGCCATCAGGATTGGTCAAACTGGGATAAGGATGGAGATTCTAGAATGGGGGTGAAGGTGCCATCAGAGCCCCTAAATTCACACCATGCAGGGACAGCATAGTTGATGGTTTCAGGGAGTTTATATCTCTTCCCGGCACTGTATGAACGTCTTCCTTCTGCCCAAAGGCAATTTCTTTCTTTAAAATATCTACAGTCAATGCTCCATCCAGAGAATCTTAAAACAAGCTTTGGGCATCCTGACTTTCAGAAGATGGTTACTTTTAAGTTAATGCTGGTTCATAACTGTAACAAACATTGACGTGCTTTATTTCGGTATCACATTTATATTGAAGCTTCCTCTCTTGATCTGTCTACCACAGGCTGCTCGCAACTGCTTGGTCAACGAACAAGGGGTGGTCAAAGTGTCTGATTTCGGCCTTTCCAGGTGAGTTTTGGTGCCAATGGGTCTGCAGGTTGGGAAAGTTGCCCAGGCTGAGAAATCTTCTGTTTTCCTCAATGGACTGGGAGCCACTTGAGTTATTATTGGCTTGAGGATTACAGCGTCAAGTTGCCCAACCCAACCTTCTCCTTGCAGGTATGTCTTGGATGATGACTACATCAGCTCTGTGGGAACCAAATTTCCTGTCCGGTGGTCTCCCCCAGAAGTTCTCCTCTACAGCAAGTTCAGCAGTAAATCGGACGTCTGGGCTTTTGGTGAGCATAATATATGAATCAGAATCAGAATAGAGCTGGAAGGGATCTTGGAGGTCTTCTAGTCCATCCCCCTGCTCCAGCAGGAGATCTTATAGCATTTCAGACAAGTGACCATTCATTCTCTTCTTTAAAACCTCCAGTGATGAAGCACCTACTACTTCCAGTGGCAAGCTGTTCCACTGATCACTTGTCCTCACTGTTAGGCAGTTTCTTCTTAATTCCAGGTTGCTTCTCTCCTTGATCAGTTTCCACCCATTGTTTCTTGTCCTTCCCTCAAGGGCTTCAGAGAATGGCTTGACTTCCTCTTCTTTGTGGTAGCCCCTCAAATACTGATCATGTCACCCTAGTCCTTCTTTTCTCTAGACTAGCCATACCCAGTTTCTACAACTGTTCTTCATATGGTTTTATCTCAAGGCCTTTAATCTTCTCAGTTGATCTTCTTTGCACTTTTTCCAAAGTCTCAACGTCTTTTTTGTAACGTTGTGTGACCAAAACTGGACGCAGTATTCCAGGTGTAGTCTTACCAAGGCTTTATAAAGTACTGCTTTATAAACTATGGGCATAGAAGATGATGTGTCAGAACGGGAAACCGTCATGGCTGATGAATGAAATGACAACATATTCTTGGCCACAGAGTGTGCCATTAACAAGGGTCCCAGATCCCATAAGGAAGAGGTGTTCCAATGCAATTGTTTGGTACCCACTTCTAAGTGGATGGGAGATTAGAATCCAGGAACTTTGTCCATCCAGTTGTAGCTACATGAGAATAACATCTCTCAATCTCAAGTGAATGTACATAACAGCACTTAGCAGTAGCACTTAGACTTTTATACCGCTTCACAGTGATTTACAGCCCACTCTAAGTGGTTTACAGAGTCAGCCTCTTGCCCCCCAACAATCTGGCTCCTCATTTTACCGACCTCAGAAGGACGGAAGGCTGAGTCAACCTTCAGCCTGGTGAGATTTGATCTGCCAAATTGCAAGCAGCCGGCAGTCAGCAGAAGTAGCCTGCAGTACTGCACTCTAACCACTGCTGCCACCACCAGGCTGGACTTAACAACCACAACTGAGCCCCAAAGTCCCCCTGCTAAGAAAAAGTCAGTTGTTAAGTGAGATTTTTGCCCCATTTTACAACGTTCCTCGCCACCGTTGCTTAGTCAATCACTGCAGTTGCTAAGTACGTAACATGGATGTTAAGTAAATCCAGCTTCCCTGTTGACTTTGCTTGTCAGAAGATTGCAAAAGGGAATCACGGTGACCCTGGCACACTGCAACCATCACAAATATGAATCAGAGTAATACCTGTATGGTTTTTGTCCCATTCACACAAGCGCCTTGTGCAGAAGGGACCCAAGACTTTGTGGTGCAGAGGCCAGGAATTGAGTGGCATTTCAGAAGAGGTTAAAACTAGCAGTGTCGCCCTGACCCTACGTTCTGTGATGTTTTCGCCATGGACAGGTGTCCTGATGTGGGAAGTCCACACTTTGGGGAAGATGCCCTACGAGAGGTTCACCAACAGTGAGACCACCGACCACGTCATCAAAGGGCTGCGTCTCTACCGCCCCCAGCTGGCCTCTGACAGGGTCTACGCCATCATGTACAGTTGTTGGCATGAGGTAAGCTTCCGTCTCGTTCATCCCAGGGATGAGGAGGAAGTGTGACTAAATATCTCTTTCCTGAAGGGTGGAAGAAGCATTTTTCAAAGGCTCCAATGTTGGAAATGAACGATCTCTGGATGCTTCAAAAGAAATTGGTGTCAGATGTCACTTGAGGTGTGCTGTTATGTAGTGACAGACCTTTCCAACTTCTCTTTTTTTTTAGGCATTCCACGGAGAGGGGCCTTATCTTTTAAGCACTTAAAAAGAAGATCCCTTGTCCATCTCTTTTAGAAACTGTTTTATATAAGCTATTTCATCTCTCTTTTTTCTTCCAGAAAGCAGAAGAACGTCCAAGTTTCCAGGTCCTCCTTGGGCAAATTATGGATTTAGCGAATGAAGATGTTTGATCCCCACCGGTCACCCCATGTTCATTTTCCCCTGTGAATTGTTGCCACATTCTTCAGTTTGCTGAGGAACTGCTGAATGGACACGGTGAAAAACAGAATCAGCAAGAAGGCAATCACAACCAAAATAGTTCGATCGATTGAGAACTGTCTCCAAAACTGCCTTTTACTCACCTTTGTGTTTGTCTTCAAAGCCAGCCAAAACTAACAAGACTAGCAAGTGCTGTTTAGGTGTTTTCCTATCCAGCAAGATAAGGTGCAGTTTGATCATCCCATTTCCAAGTCAGCCGAAAAGAAAACCAGCATGAAATTGTTTGTCTTCGTTTCTGATTCCTGACCCACCTCAGTCTCTGCCTTCCCATCAGGATCATGCGTGCCAAACCCTCACAGATTTTGCCCACCTGGAGATTAACCTTGGATTACGAGAAAAATCCTGCTTAGTGTTCAATAGGATGAAAACCCCTGTTGGAATGGAACAGGAAAAAAAAACTATGATTACAGACAAATGGCAGAGGCTTTTGGTAAAAGAATACGTAGGTCTTCCAAAATCACTTGAAACAAGATAATGGGATTTAATTAACGTTGGAGAACACAGCTGTTTCAAAATGTCTTGTGCAGTGATGGATAAAAATGCAAAGAAGCGATAGAAAAAATGAATTGCATTTCATAAAGAGAAAATGAACTCCTCCATCACCTTCCTGGATTCTTGTTGACTTGTTCACTGGTGCTTCGTTCAACGTGAAGATTTCTTTTTAATTTTTGTTTACTGTAAAAGTCATCTGACTAATCTTATCATCCCAAATATTCTCTTCCCCAATAAATCACATTCAACATCCTGAAAAAGTCCTCTGCTCCCAGAAACTGAAGCCAGGAATCTTACTGTAGAACTCTTCAGATAAACTTAGGGGGAAATTTCCTTTTTTTTAAAAAAAAAAGAAAGCACAAAACGGGCAAAAATGGATACAATACAGAACGGATAGAGCAGTGCAATGCACGAGACTTCACATCAAACGAGTGATACCTGAAGTCTGTTTCACTCTGAAGCAGTGAGAAAATAGAACAGGGAAGTAGTAACAGGAAGAATTCGCCACAGGATGTGTTGTAGACCGAACTGCTTTATTTTTTTTGCAAGAGATACTAAGCAGATTTTGAAAACAAGCTCACAAAATTTAGACTTCCAGTTATTATTGGTACTTATAAGTTTTTTCCAACTCTCTCATCTATCAATTTGCTCTCTCTCTCTCACTTGCATGGAAATCCTGCTCATTTAGAGCTGTCGGGTGAGCTATAAAACCGAACGATACAGAGGCATCGTAGGCGTAGAGAATATGTATACAACATGCAAAGTCGAGGCTGTGTTCTTAAAATAGCTTTTGAAAAAATAGCTTTTTTAAAATGCATTTTGTTTGGTTCTGATTTAATACAGGAAATCTTTGTATTCCGGAACACAATGCTTTAGATGTGATGAAGCAAATTTGATTTGATATTAAAATGTCGTTATTATTATTATTTATTTGCTTGGCTTTGAAAAGTATAAAAACAAAGCATTAAAAAAAATCCGTAGGAACCTCTTTTAGATGGGCTCCCTTTATCGGGTTTGTTCTTTTTATATATAGTGTCAAACCAATGTAATTACAGTGGCTCTACTATATTGTAATTATATATATAT